AATGATTAAAACTTAATAATTATTTATGTTGTTTTCTGTGCGAATGATTGTGATTTTAGTCAAAATAAATATTTACACAAGTGCTCCCAATGGTTTCTTTATCTACTTCTTTTTTAAAAATATCATCTGCATTTTTTTTTTTAGTTAAATTTCCAAATTCTATATATGTATCCTTATACTGTAATAAAAAATAAAATTGTATTTTATGAAAAAAAAATGCGTGACTTTGTGACATTCTTTTATGGGATTTGATGTCTAACAACCCGTTGACCAATATAATTACTTAGTCGACGTTGCTAGGTGTTGTAAAAAAAAATGAAAACCAAACCCACATCAAATGAGCTTTGGATTTTTTTTGTTTGGTTTTTGGATTATTCTGTTTATTAATATTTAATAAAGAAAACTTAATTTGGATTTGTTTTCTTAGCTAGATTCAATAACCAAAATGGATTAAACCGAATCTTATTTGATTTAGTTTCATTTACTTAAGAGATAGTTATATTTACATTTTTAGGTTGCATCTTTCGCGAATACATTGCATCTACCCTAATAAACTAAATTTCTCTATCATCCTTTGTCATTTTTTGTTAATTATATCTCGATACAAAATTCTTAGGGATACTAACAAAAGACTATTCGTTGAAAAAAACAATTCGTCATCCTTCAAAAACAACTATTCACCTAAAGTAAAACTATTTTCCTTAAAGAAAAGTATCCGTCACACCATCCCCACGTTGAAAACGCCACCTACGACCGCACTACTAACACTTATCTTCTAAACCCTACACCTTAAACCGTAACCCTTAAACCTTAAATCATAAAGTAAATGTGGATATATGTTGATGCATTTCATGTTCTTTGTAATATCACATGTTTTTAAAGAAATTATTATGGTTGTCAAAATGAAGCTAATCGTCAACAAGAAACTACTCACCGAAATGGAATTAATTGACGTTCGCCTAAAGAAAAACTAATCGCCGCCTGAAAATTATTTTCTCTCATGGGAAACTTTATGTTGCAGTGTCTAAAGGGACATCATGTGTATTATTGAATCCCGCAAAAATTTCAACGATGACGAAATCTATACCTCAAATATGGTGTATAAAGAAGTATTGCACGATTAATATTATACAATCAACCATTAGTAATTACATGTACGTTGTTTTGAGTTTGTCTTTTTTAGTTATTATAACCAGATGATTAAAATTAATGAAAATCTTAATATGTTTTAAAAAAATTTATACAAATGGTCAATGTGGTTTCTCAGATTCTTGATGTTCGACTCGGATTTTTTTTCGTTACATATATAGTCCGGATGGTTTTTGTCCCGAAAAGAAACGAATTGTCAAAACAAACTATTCGCCGTCCGTCACATCCCTAACGATATGGTAATTCCCTTCACTGGAAAAGAAAAGTCATTGCATGCTTTGATTGATGCAATCTGTCCATCGTTTGAAATTAGAAGATCTGAACCGTATTATATTATTTCCCGTGCAATAATATCCACAAGAAATGATAGTGTCGACGAGATTAATGATGATTTGATCGGCCGATTCCATGGAGAAGAGAGAATTCACTATATTTTTGATGAAACCATGGACGATATAAATAACTTCTATCCCGTGGAATTCTTGAACACGGTCAGTGTTAGTCGTTTTCCCCCTCATTACCTAAGACTGAAAGTTGGATGCCCGATAATACTGTTATGGAATCTCGACCCATCAAATGGATTGTGTAACGGAACCCGATTGATATGTAAAAGTTTTCAGCACAATGTCATTGATGCCGAAATAGTTGTTGATCAACATGATGGAAATAGGGTATTTTTCCCAAGGATTCCTCTAAGTCCGTCTGAAGTTGTCATGTTTCCGTTCAAGCGGAAAAGAAAACAATTTCCCATTTGATTATGTTTTGCGATGACAATCAATAAAGCTCAAGGACAAACAATTCCAAATGTAAATTTATCTTCGAGAATCGATTTTCTCACATGGCCAACTTTATGTGGCATTATCCAGAGGGATATCACGTGTCACTACAAAAATATTGGTGAAGCCTGATGAACAAATTAACGGCAGTGAAGTCTATACATCAAATGTAGTGTATAAAGAAGTGTCGCACGATTAATAATGATCGACCAATCACGTGTTCATATGCATTTGTAATGAATTCCAACTTTCCATTTTTAATTCATTCTGATTTCGTTTCTGCTAGCATGATTCTTATTGATAATTGTTTATATGTAGTAAACTATTTGCGCAAAAACACTAATGCCATATACGAACTAATTTCCGAAAAAAAAAATATTTACAACCGGCGCTTGGCGCGGGTAAACGGCTAGTGTGTGTGTATATATATATATATATATATATATATATATATATATATATATATATTCAAGTAAGTTCCAACTTCATGCAAATGAAGAAGTTCATTGAGCATTAGGTATCTAGTATCTACTATCTAGTTATGAATGTCCATAACGAAAGAAGTTCATGGTACTATAACTTGACATAGGAGATCATATCCTTTTCAATGTGAATCACTCACCAATAAAATGTTCAAATTGCAAACATCACCTCTAAAATTCAATAGGAAACAAAATGTTGTGTATAATGGCAGAGAGAAACACCGACCGAACCCTAAGACCTGCTTATGAACATGGATAATGCATGGGAACTACCGAAGAGAGTTTGACACAAATACTCGATTGAAAGCGATGATTTATTGAAATAGCATAATTGGCTATTACAGATAATTACACGCAGAGAGCATATAGGAAAGAAATAAATTCGTGTGCGACGATGATTTACCTATACGAATGATCGAGGATCAAAGCAGTTGTTCTTCGTGAGAGCTGTAGTTCGTGCGAGGGGTTTACAAAACAAAACCTTGCAAACTGATAGATGTAGTGGATTTTAACACAAAATTGTGGGGTTTATCAGGGGCTTTTGACATAACATGGCTTGCTTGATTGACTTCCGTGTTAATGTCTAAGTTAGAAATTTGAAATGTTGGGTACACGTAAATAAAAAAAAACAATTTCAGAGCGGGGATACAGAAAAAGAAATTACTTATATCAAATAACCAATTTTGATTAGAAAAATGACTTAGGTCATTTCTTGTCACACTTTTATATTTTAATGTGTATCTAAAAATAACCGGTTGACATGATAAAAGATAAAAAATATGACTATAACTTATATATGGTCACACTTTTATATTTTAATTTGTGTCTTAAAGTAAGCAATTTTCATGATAAATATAAAATCATTACGACTATAAGTCACTTATGACCACGCTTTTATATTCTAATAAGTGTCTAAAAGTAACCAATTGTCATGATAAGGGAGGAGGGAGTCATTCCCTCCCAACCTACTCAACCCACTGCCACATCAGTTTTTCTCTTTTATTTTTCTTCATCTTTCTCAACCCATAACACATGGAAACCTTATCTTTTCCAACTCACTCAACCCATTCAGTTAAAAAAATATACAAAACAATCAAGGTAAAATTTTAATTAGCAATAGAGTTACCGCCGGTACCACTCCCTCTTCAGCGGGTTGTTTAGTTGGTTTCACTAACTCACTTCATCCTCTCTCTCTACTTTCTCTCTCTCTCGTTTTCTCTTGTACCATGTGTTTTAAAACTTGTAACTTAGTTGTTTTGTATTTTTTTTTAATTGAGTGGGTTGAGTGGGTTGAGAAAGATATGATTTCCGTGTGTTGTGGGTTGGGAAAGATGAAGAAAAAGAAGAGACAAAAATTCATGTGATAAGTGGGTTCAGTGGGTTGGGAGGGAATGACTCCCTCCTCCCTAAAGGAAAAAAAATGTGACTATAAGTAAGGGTTGTAAATGAACCGAAAGAACAAAAACAATAGTTTGTTCATATTTATTCATTTAAGTTAACCGAACAAACGAACGAACACGAATGAATAAATGAACAAAATTTCTTGTTTGTGTCCGTTCGTTAACAAATTACACTGTTCATGTTCGTTCATTTATGTTCGTTAAGATGTATAGCGAACATAAACGATCATAAATAAACAAAACATAAAAGCATTAGTAAACATAAAAACTTCACTTTCACTCATATCAGTTGAATAGTATTACGGATTTTGATGGAACCGATCTAATCGAATTACCCATTGGATGATGGATTTTGTCAACCGATCCAAACTAATTTGCTATATCCAGCTAAACTGATCAAATTGGACATTTTATTGGATTAAGTTTATCCGTTGAATATTATTTGATTTGATATCTATTATCCAACCAATTTTAATCCATTTTCTACCCAATAACAACCAAACATAATTATGATAATTAAAATTAAAATCGTACACAATTACGCTAAATAAGACTGACAAACGACACTTCAAGTCTTTAATTTCAACGACCAAGGTTTAAACATGAAAATTTGAATTTTTATAATATTAATTGTATAATAATATTGTATGGTAATTGAATATTTATTGGATTAATATTAGATACCCAACTGAATTAACATTGGATCGGTTCGGTTATCCTTTGGATTTTCAGAGTAATCCAATAACTGATCTAATCCATTTGGATTTTAAAATTTCGAAACCGATCACGTACAATTGTAATTGGATATTCAATCCGGTTAGTTGGTTTATAATTGGATCGATCGGTTTGAATCGGATCGGTTAAGTTCTACACACCTCTACCAGATTTAAGAAAAAAAAACTAACTCAAACACCACAACCGGATTGATCAAACCGACATTGATAAAGACCGTTTCGAAAAAGACCGGAGTTTAGAGTCTTGACTCTTTTTGCGCATTTTAATGCGTATCGTAAAAAAGTCGTATGAGATGGAATTGGGCCAAAGTCCAAGCACCTACTCACACCAAAATGTTTCTGGGATTTTAACCAATTTACGTGATCTATGGGCTAAACTGTTAATGATTTCTGTTGGGCCGTTATGTAATCAAAACTCAAAGCGCTGTGATTACAATAATCCAATCAAAGAAGCAGAGGCCGGTCTGGCCGGATATTAGAGGAGAAAGAGAAAGCTTCATTTCGTTTCAATGGCGACGTCACAGTTGGTGAGAACTATTTTAGATCCAACGAAAAACTGGTTCGCCGCCGTGCACAAGAAAACTATCACGGAACGCCTGCGCAAATACGGTCAGAATCTTTTCTGGTTGTGTGTGTATTTATGTATTTGTGATTAGATATAAATATACTTTTGATTGTGTGTATCTAATCATCTATTGCGATTCTTTCTTTTTTCTTTCTGTCCATGGCTGATGATTGTGGCATGTGTTCTAAAAATAAAAATTAGGACTGCGATATGATGATTTGTTCGATCCGATGGAGTGTTTGGATATCAAGGAAGCAATGAGAAGACTACCTCGTGAGATTATCGATGCTAGAAACCAACGGATTTTTGCGTGCAATGGATCTCTCCATGAAACACGAGTATCTCCCCAAAGATCTACAGGTCCATTTTCAATATCTACATACTTGATTATAATACATTTTTTCTAGTACTAAATACTAATTCAACATCTTTGTGCATCGAAAATACAAAACTTGACTTGAAATCAGGCGTGAAATTGATGTTTTTGTTCTTGTTGTTACAGGCACAACAGACACCATTTAGGAGTTATCTTACCGATATGCTGGCTCGGGTAAGTTCATAAGGATTTGATTATCGACTTTGGATATATTTTCATGAGTATCTTTTGTTTATAGCCTAAGCTAATGATAAAATAAATAGTTTATTTAGCTTGAAATAGAAATCCTTGATGCTATTGCATTATACATTGTAGTAGTGATTAATGATTTTATAAAATAAGAAACTAAAGGCTAAAATTTTAAAACTAAAACGTATGTCTTATGTTTGTGTGAAAGAATGAGTGAGGAAACAGTAGTAGACCGTTTGATAGTTGCTGATTGAATCAATGCCCTACTGAGTTAGACCCAATAAGAGGCATGTCAGAGGGCAAAAAATTGTAATTTTTGTTCCATTGATATCAGTATCGGTATCAGTCTCAATCCAACACATGTCAAACACAGTATAACCTGTTTTATCCATGCATTGTGCACACATGGGATTGATTTAACCTGAAACATTTTTTTTAAACAGGTAAAAAGGGAGAATGCAGAACGTGAAGCCTTGGGAGCATTGCCACTTCAGCAGCGAACATTGCCATAATTAATTAATTATGTCATTTTGATTTTGGGCTGCTGGATACTTTGGTTTCATTCCTGTTCATGGTGGGATTTGGCAAGTATTCAAATTATTATTCGATTCTGAATGTTGTTGAAGATCATTTACATTCATGTATCGTTTCAATTTTCAACATCTCACTACATATTTTTCGTTTGTTTGTCTTTCAACAAAAATAAAACTAAAGCAAAAAACTTTGTGTGTTATTATGATAGTAACGTTCTTTCTTTAAAAGTCAGTATTGTGACTTTATAAATCAAAACCAGATAATCATTATTTTAGCTTGAGCCACATTAAAACCTCCAACACAATGGGTCTTATAAATGGGTCTTATATATCTGTGTGTAAAGGGGATATTTGAGATCCGAATGAATCTTTTAAAGGGTTTAATTACTCGGTTTAGGCTAACATTCAAACATTTTTTATTGTAAAACATAAAAATATTGATGTTATGATTTGAAAAAAAATGGAATTCCGTTATAAAAACTATGCAAATTTTCTTTTAAAATATAGATAAATAACATAAGTCTACTCTCTCAGAACAAGCACTGACTTAAAAAAATGGGCATACACAATTACACATCTAAAAAAACAAAAATGGGGCATTATATGGACAAAAGTAGATTGTGTGTTATGTCATCTACACTTACAGTTTCACATAGATACGAACAAATCAATAACAACTAAATCCCATTCTTTGTTGTTATCTACTTGTTTTGTTTCACTTGAAATGGATAAAAAAAGGTTTTAAAGCACCCACTAAATTCACCCAAAATGATGAAAATCAGTATAATGATCAACACATTTTCCATCTAAAAAGCTTAGTATAGATTCGACCACGATTTGCTTGTGTTATCTTTCCATTAGTGATATGGGACCTTCATGATATGTGACATCTTACACAACTACATTTGTTTCTTTATGGGTTATTGGTAGAATGGTCTTAATATTTTGTCCTAGTTCATGGAAGAGTCTTAACTTTTATTTTTTGAACAGAAAAGTCTCGATGATTTAATTTTACACGATAATCTTATCATTTTCTGTTAAAAAAATCGGATTTTCCGTTAACTTGAGCAAAATATTAGATAATCGAGTCTTTTCTGTTCAAAAAAATAAAATTTGGGACTTTTCCATAAATTATGAAAAAATAATGGGGCTTTTCTAACGACAACCATTTTTTATATTGTTTGGACGCCATGAAAAGAAATCTCATGGCAAATTCCTAATATATATTCCTTTTGAAGGACCACCTATATACGTAGCTACACACGTTTTGAAAGTTCAATTGGAAAACATGTGTGTCAACGTTCCATATGAGTTCGAAATAAGACAACTCTTACTTGGTCGTCTTTTCTCTAGGGTTTTTGTCCATATATATATTGAAATGTTTTTGTTAATTTTGAACTTAAAAACATATTTTATTTGAGTTTTTAGAATCGAATTCGAGTATATTCTTAGACGGCACGCATTAGATATTTTTGTTTTTGTAAATGGTAATAAGAAGGTTCGATTAGACCAACAATTCAAAATAATTAACGTTGCATTGAGTCGGTTTAGATTCAAATATGATTTAATTATTTTCAAAGAATAATTTTGGAGCGTTAGATTAAAATAATCAATGGTTCTTATGAGCATACAAATAATATTTTAACAATAAATAAATTGTTTTATTTTATCAAGATTTTGATTTTCATCATAAGCAATGATTATTTCAATCTAACCTCCATAATCATTATCACATAATAATTAGTTTTATTTGATACATATCATATTAAGTTTGTATATATCGTACTAACAAATCACTTGGTTTTAGATGACTTTGTAAGACATGTGGAAAATATGGTGAGTAACTTATTGACCAATGTTCAAATCGTGATACTATTCAGTCATTGTGGCTATGGTTGTTCGCCTGCAATGACACCAAAGCACGAGGCATATTCTCATATTTGCAACGGGAATTCGTGGGTACATAAAAAAATTGGCCCGAAAAACCTCGTTAGGAAACTCCCTTTCAGAAAAATCATACAAAACCCAAAACATTCAAACAAATAAAAACCTAAATGAAATGAAATATTAATTACCAAAAACTAAAGAATTCGACCACTTGAGGTGTTAAAGTTTCGATATACAATTAGTTTTCTTTAGGCCAACGTGAAACTAACTTATTTGGTAGAGGTGAAAGACTCTTAAATTGAAGGTCTCGAGTTCAAACTCAGAAGTAGACAAATTACTAACTTTGTGAATTTACCTTCTAATCACAAACCAATTGTTCAAAAAGAAAATAGTTTTATTTTTATTAACATATTACAAAAAAACTATTTATTAAAATTATAACAGACGTTTTTAAAATACATTAAACTTAAACATTTATAATATGAAAAATAACATTTTCATTTATTTTTTTTTTATTCATCCATTCCAAAAAAAAAATGACTTTTTGTATCTCTTGCTTTGATCCAAGAAAATGATGTATAATGCGAGTGTCGCGGAAAGGGGGCTTGGGATGTGTTCACACACATTGGAACACAGCACCGTCATTGCGGGAAGGGAGTTGGGGATAGAGACCCCTCATTCTCTCTCGTGTTTTAATTGGTTAGGCTTTTTTTTTCCGGTTTTTTGATATTTATTAAATTATATACCTACTAAAAAATTATAAAAAATATATTAAAATGCATGGTTTTTAATTCCCTACAAATGAGTATAATACTTGTATTAAATATATTTAAAAAAAATAAAAAAAGAGTGAAAGATTCTTCCCATACACACCATGAGTTTGGGTGAGGAAAAAGAAAATTAAAAGAAATGCTGACGTGACAGACAAAAAGTGAGGAATCCTTTCCACACACACCCTCAGATCTAATGAGTAAGAAAATCTTTTGCATTTTTTTTAAATGAATGAATAGAAAACATAAGTAAAATTATCATCTCCCTTCTTTTATAATATTTATAGACTCGTATAATTCTTCATAAAATTGGAGGCATGAAAATGGTTGCGGGAAATATTAGGGATGAGATTTAAAATTGGAAAACCGGACTAAATCGGAATCGGACCGGAACCGAAATATATAGAATCGGTTCCGGTTTCGGGTTTAAAAATTGACTTTATCCGGGTTTGGGTTCATTGGGTCCGGACAAACCGGGTCTAAGAATCGAAACCGGTGTTAGGAGCCAAAACCACTTTTAGGGGTCGGAATCGATTTTTGTGAAACATTTAAAACATGCATATCTCATTCGTTTCAAGTCGGATTGACGTACGGTTTTTTACAACGTACAGTTTAGAGTTTGTACATGATTTTAGACTATAAATTTGTTATTTTTAGTTTTATATTCATTGACTTACAGTCCATCAAAGTCGAGATATCAAAGCTGAAAGTTTTTAGTTTTTCAGCTTTTTTGTATTCTGTGAAAATTTTAAAACATGCATATCTAATTCGTTTGAAGTCGGATTGACATGTGGTTTTTTTCAACTTGTAGTTTAGAGTTGGTACATAATTTTAGACTATAATTTTGATATTTTTTTGTTTAATATTCAATGAATTACAGTCTCCTGAAGTCGGGATATCAAAGCTAAAAATTTTCAACTTTTTAGCTATTTGTTTTTGTATTTTTAATTCTGTGAAAACGTTAACACATACATATCTCATTCGTTTAAAATCGAATTGACATGCGGTTTTTTCTAGAGTGTAATTTTGAGTTTGTACATGATTTTAGACTATAATTTTGTCAATTTTGATTTCATATTCAATGACTTACAGTTCTCCGAAATCGGGGTATCAATATGAAAATTTTCAAAGTTCAACCCACTAAGTATTAACTACAAAAAAATGCCGTTTTTTTTTTGGGTTTTCCGGTTTTAAACTCACTTTATCCGGTTCCAACCTACCTACTTTGATGTTTCCGGTTCTAGACTCACTTGACTCGGTACCATACCCGGAACCGGTTCCTATATATAGGTCTGGTTTCCGATTCTACAAAATTCTGTTAACCCATTCCGAATTTTCCGGGTCCGGATCCATCCGGTCCAGATTTGGACCCACTTTAATCCTTTGTAAATATAGTGTACGCAAATATATATTTACAATCAAACAAATATAAACCAAAAAAAGCGTGTAATGGTCCTACACGTGACACTTTAGTACAAAACCGACACGTGTACGATCTTGAGCCGGTTGCCCTATATAAACGAAACCCCAAGGAGAGAACTCACTATCCACCTGCAAAATCTTTATCGGCAAAACAGGAAAAAAAATCATTTGTAATTTCTCTCTCTACAAACTCTACAAAAATGGCAGCAAGTCTCATGCCTATTCAGCCTCCGGTCATCGTCCGAGCATCCGCCTCCACCTCCGGCAACCAGAAGCCCGACTCTCAACGCAAAAGCTGGTGGACTCCACTCTTCGGCTGGCCTTCCGAGCCCGACTACATTGACTCCGGCAACATCGACAAAAGCAGGAAGACTAACACTACTTTCTCGGCGAAATCAGGCGCCACTTCGGAATCGGATCTGGATCAGAGGCCGGTCAGATCTCGTATATCTCCGGGGAGCTTCACCGAAGAAAAGGCGAGGAAGCTCCGGATGCTGACGATGGAAATGGAGTCGTTTCACGATGCGATGTATCACTCTGCCATCGCTTCACGTCTCGCTTCCGATTTCTCCGATCGTTCTGATGAATGATCGATCTCCGATTTCCGGCGAGTATGTGTTTCGATTAATTTTAAATTGCAATTAGTTTCGTACAAGATGTTCCTTTTCAATTTAGTAACTATTATTTTAAAAGGTTACTTTCATAGTTTTAGTATTGTAGACTTGGAAGTTGGAAACGAAAGGCAGATGTTGATAGCATATGATTTTCTAATGTTTTTATATTAGAGATCTTTGGTTAACTGACCCTTGAAGATTGGGATGTTGTATGTATAATACTAATGGTAGTAATAATTTGTATATAAATAAAATATTTGTTTAATTTAATTATCGAGATTAACTAGTTTTAAATTGTTGACATAGACCTAATTGTTTGTTTAATACGAATTATTGATGCAAGTTGCAAGTGTGTTCTTGTGCTTATCGCCTTCCAAAAGAGCACTAGGCATACGTTAATAGTTTCTTTAACGTCATTATTGTGTTGCCTTTTTCTTTGTTTTTTATCCATTTAGTAATTAGATCTTTCTTTTTAATTTTAATTGTATCAACATTTATCTTTATCTATAAGATCTAATCTGTGCATAACAGATACACAATAATTTATATTTTAAAATAAATTGTTAGTGTGTGAAAAGAAATGTTGTTTATGAATCACTTGCTTGTCTATATGGTTTTTGGTTCAAAATAATATTTACACAAAATTACTTGGTTCAAAATAATATCAAGACAAAATTACGAGGTTGGTTATACCTTAGTGTATGTGGTTTTACTTTTTACTAGTTTAGTTGTGAGATCCATGGATTACATGTGTTAATATTACAAGTATTACAAGGTTAATTTAGAAAAAAAAGTTAAATATGAAAGATCAAAATATTTAAGAACTTTAAATTTATAAGAAAATAAAAAAATAATTAATTATTATAATAGAAATGTTTTTTTATCTTTTAAATTTAAACAAATAATTTAAATAAATAAAAGAAACTAATGAGATTTAATTTTAGAATTTTGAAATTAAAAGGTAAATTCATTAAAAAAATTGATATCAATTTATTCCTATATTTATTGCAATTATTAAATTAAAATATTATGTGAAATTTAATAAAATAGAAAAGCTCATAAAATTACATGTGGAAAAAAAATTTATTCAAAATAACCATAAAATGACATTTGACAAATTGAATAAGAATATGACAAGTGGCAAAAAAATCTTCATCTATTAGAGAAGATGTGATTATCCATTTATCTATTTTAGGGACGGACAAAAGATTTCATAGTAGTTGATGTCCAATGGCATATATATTTTTTTTACCTAGTAACACAATAGTTGAATAAATGAAAATTTCAAAAATTTTACATTGCTTCCAAAAAACAGAAATTGTAGGTGCCATTATAGGCACTCCATTTTTTTTATCGAATTTTTTTTATGTTCCAAATAGATTATATTTTTTTAGGGGTTGGCTAAAAAGACACCCCATATTACAATATGGACACCCTAGTGAATATTTTAAATATTTTTATTGGTTGAAATTGTATTGTTCTCCGAAAAAACTGATTATAAGCGGTTAATTATTTGTTGACTTTTTTATAAAAATGTCAATAGGGTGTCTAAAGGGTGTCTTATTAGCAACACCCTTTTTTATAGTGGAACCACCTGTGATCCATATGAAGTGAATTTTATATCCTTGTAATATAACTTATCATTTTTTAATTGGTTTTAATTTAAAAGAATAGATAAATAAACCTAACTACCACCCCCGTTCCACCCTCGTATCTTTCACCCCCAACCCACATCTATCTTTTTCCCCAACCCACATCTCTTTCTTTTACATTAAAAGGCTCCCAACTCACATCCCGTCTTTCACATCAGAAGCCCCCCAAGGTGTCAACCCACACCTTGGAAAATGGAAAGAGTTGTTGGAAAAACTCTTATCCGCCGCTGCCACATTTGCTGCAGATATGGTCGTTAATACCATTTCCACAAACAGGTCTGGTCCACTATATGAAACCTTACATATTTCTCTTCCCTTATATCATATTATAATTAAATAAGATAACTATTTGAGTTGTAGTGACTTGGTAAGACATGTGGAAGATATAGTGAATAACCTATTGACTCATGTTCAAATCTTGACACTACTCAACTCCTGTGGTCGTGTAGATTTGTCTGCAGTGACTCTAAAGCATGAGATATAGCTGGTCCTGAACCCTCGTTGGGGAATCTTTCTTTTCAAAAAAAAGTTAAATAAGATCATTGCTTATCTAAAAATAAAAATGGATATTTTTACAAATTTGTTATTATTATGGAGTTGTGTTACTTTTTTTTCATAAATTGATATCATATATTATTTTGACAATTTTGAAACATATTTAAAAAAATATTTATTTTTATAAATATATTATTATTATGGAGTTGTGTTACATTTTTTTTTGTAAATTGATAACGTATATTCTCTTAACATTTTCGAAACATGTTACAACATATTCTATGTTTTTTTAGATGTTTTTTTATTTATGTTATGTATATTTAATTTAAATTAATGGAATTTAAGTCTTTTATTTAATTTGAATTGTTTAACAAATTAAAAAACAACTAATGCATGTCATGGGGACATTTATTGTGCGTAGAAGACCCATGAAATTGTAGTAAATTTAAAGCGGCATTGACGTGACACTAATGTAGCTAACAAAAGAGTATCTCAAAAATAACACCACTCCCTCCGCCTAAATACGAAAACCCTCTCACGCAAGTACACCAATTTTAGCAAACTTTCCTACAACAAATATATTGTTGTAGTCTATCAACCAAACGGGAAAAGCACATCGAACAACCTTCCCTAAAGATACCATGTATCTGGTACGACATGTTAGGCTAAAGAGACAAACATTATGTCATCAACCAATGATATGAATATGTGACGACCGGTTATTTTCAATCTTGTAAAAGTCAAACAAAATCAACCAAAGACAACAAAAGTCAAACCTATCTAATAAAAGTCAAACTTGTTGTATTGTTAATTTAATAAAGTTAAATTAATGATTTTGGTCAAGATAAATATTGTGTTAAAGTGTGTAAAGTTTAGAAGGAAAATCACCCAAGAAACCGAGGATTCTCGCCTAGACCGAAAACCCTCGGACTGCTCTTCTTTCTTCGGATCGCAAACCGAAGGACAACAAACCGTTTACGGTCGAGAACCCTCGGACCGCAAAACGTGCAAGACATCAGAATACTAACCCGGAGGGTTTCCTCTTCGGACCGAAAAACTTCGCAGCCTTATCCTCTTCTGATCGCAAACCCACTTCTTCGGTTTGTGTTCTTGGCCGAAAACCCACATGTATATATATATATATATATATATATATATATAAGTTGCCCAAAATCTACCACATTCTTACATCTTTCAACCAAAAACTTCACCTTTTCTCTCAAGAACTTCAACTGAAAACTCCTCTCTCCTCTCAAGAACATGCGAAATCACTCACTGCTCATGAATTTCATGCGAAAATCCTTTGCATCATCTTAGAATCTTGCAAGGTATCGTCTTTTGTTCTTGATATCATCCATAAACACCTTCCAATCTCCTTATATTGGGCCGAAAACACCAAAATTCACTAGTTTTCACGAAGAACACGAAGAACATCAAGAACACCCACACACTATTCTAAGAATTATTGTAAGTCTTTTTACAATAATTAAGTGTTGTTTAACACTTTAAACATTACTAGATTATCTAATTTATACTTAATATGATGTTAATATAAATTAGGATTCGGTTTATATCACATAACTTGTGGAATTAGCTCTACTACACCGTATCTTCAACCGGAAACTCACAAAATGTGAGTTCATAGTACAACAACAATTACACAGAACGGTTTTATGGTATTAAAACTACTTTTCAGTTATATTAGAAAATATTGGATTTTATGGAACAATAAACATGATTACTATTTCAAGAAACAAATAGCAAACTTCTAAACCTAAATACTTATGAACTCACCAACTTAAATGTTGATACTCTCTTTTTTCAAAATACTTGTATTCTCAGGGAACCAGTAGACAAGTACATTCCTAGGATTTTGAGAAGACGGAGCTGTATAGAGTCATGTCTTCTATCTTTTGCTATATAACTTTTGATGTCATATATACGATGACTTGAACACTATGTAAAACTTATACATTATTAATGCAATGGTTGGTGTACTTTGATTACTTTTAGACTCCACAAACCTCTCCCCAACTTTGGAGGCTTCTAACTCATGAAACTTTTCATTAGACTTTTCCAATTCAATTATAGCTTCTTTGATTTCAAACATCCTTTCGGTATCATTATCATTTAAAGGTACATCATCCTCCACCACAACCTCAAGTTCGGGTGGTGTAGGATTATGCACAATGTTATCATTGCATAGAAAACTTACCTTTTTTACTTGGGTAGTGTCTGAAGGTTTGCCCGGTGGTTGTTGCTTTAGCTGCTCCGTTATTCGTTCTAGTTGATCTTCAATCGCCAAAATTGATTTGGAGTTGACTTCCTCCTTGTTGAAGGTTTCATTCAACATCTCTAGCATTTGATCCAACTTTTTGCTGAATGAAGATTTGTCTGATTCTTGGTTGTCTGGGAAGCAAGATGATTCATGGTATTGGCTTTGAGCTGAATTGTCAGTCCACCAATAATAATCATCATATCGATCATCGTATGGATCATCATTATATGGATCATTATAGTATTGATATTGGCCCATATTTTCTCTCTCCCACCACACATCTTGATCCATGTAAATATATTCATCCATCACCAGTGCACCTACACAAAAACAGTAAAATAGTGAAGATTTTGAACAAAAAAAAACAAAAATTAATGACTACTTCAACACAATAGTTTAAGCGCACAATCTCCCCGGCAACGGCGCCAAATTTTGATCGAGGTCGTTGTCTCAATCAAAAATAACCTCAAAAACCACTAGATAGCTAGGGTAAGTAAGGGTTGAATCCACGAGGAGTTTGTGGTCAAACTTTGTGTTAAAATAGTCAACGA